ACACACCATCTACCAGAAGAAAACACACACAAACCGCTATCTGCACGCTCTCTCACACCACCACCCAGCACAGATCAACTCTGTAGCCAAGACACTCATCTCCAGAACAAAACGCTTAGCTGACGAACAACACCTAAAACCCGAACTACACACTCTCACCAATGTACTAACATCCAATGGATTCCATAGAAATAAGATTACAAACCTAATCCAAAAAGAAACCCCCACTAAAATCCAAGACAAAGAACAAGAAAATGGCAAAGCCCTCCTCCCATACATAAAAGGCACCACAGACAGAATCAGTACGATCCTCCATAAACACAACATCAAAACAGCATTCTGCACAAACAGAAAAATATCCACCATCCTTAGAAAACCCAAAGATAAAATTGAATTAGAAAATCAAGGAGTATACGAAATCCCATGCACCACTTGTCCCACCACATACATTGGACAAACCAACAGAAGAATAAGTGCACGCATTGAAGAACATAAGACCTCAGTCAAAAAAGAGGAACCAACATCTTCCCTGGTCCAACACCTTAAAGCCACAGGACATGAAATTGACTTTAAAAATACCAGAACCATTGCCGAAAGTGAACATTTTAATAACAGAATAATCAGAGAAGCCATCGAGATAGAAAAACGCCCACAGAGCATGAACAAGCGAGATGATACCTCCCGCCTACCAGCCATTTGGAAACCCACCCTTATTGACAAACGACTCCCTAACACAAAAAATGATACCAGACCCACACTCACAAAAACCACACAGGAAGTCACCACCACACATCCACGCAAAAAACAAACCCAAAGCCACACCGATGACGAGGCACGACCACAAACCAGAAGCCAGACCACAGCTGCATCATTAGCCACTTTAAACCCCTCCAATCCATACATGAAGCAAACTGACACCCTCCATGAAGAGGAAGCACGACCACGAACGTGAAGCCAAAAAATAGCAAGGCAGCCCAAAATCTCAAACCCCTCTGCAACTCAGACTAACCTGAGCACAACCAAACAGAATACTCCCCCAGCCAATCAGAGCACAGCCAAGCCCCTAACCATTCAGAACACACCTCCACCCAATCAGAACACAGCCAAGCTCCCACCCAATCATTTCATACCCCCACTGGCAGTTAAAAGGAAGAAACAGCTAAGACCACACATTGCTGCTCAAAGCACGAAGCTGAAAACACCAGCCTGAAGATGACGAATGGGACTTCGTCGAAACGTTGCCAAGACACTTCCAATTTTACGCGGGAGAAAACCCGAACAACCAAAGACCTACATATATATTAAAAAGGATATTAAAAATAGAAGCATGATTTGTGTACACCCTGATGAAGTTGGCAGGAGCCAACGAAAGCTAGGTTGCTAATCTTTTAAAACTTTTAATGTTTTTATTTAAAACTTCTGTTTTATATTAAAACTTTTAATGTTTTAACTTTTCCTGGTGATCATATTTTATTCTCACCATATATATATGTATATATATATATATATATATATATATATATATATATTATATATATATATATATATATATATGTTTTCTGAGGTTTTCGCGGTATTTGTATTAGGTCTTTGGTTGTTCGGGTTTTCTCCCGCGTAAAATTGTGAATTGTCTTGCCACGTTTACATTTTTAATAACAGAAGAATCAAGAAAGCCATCGAGATAGTAAAAACGCCCACAAGCATGGAAAGAGAGAGATAATTACCTCCCGCCTACCAGCCATTTGGAAACCTGCCCTTATTGACAAACGACCCCTAACCCCAAAATCTTAAACCCCTCTGCAACTCAGACTAACCTGAGCACAACCAAACAGAACACTCCCCAGCCAATCAGAGCACAGCCAAGCCCCTAACCATTCAGAAACACACCTCCACCCAATCAGAACACAGCCAAGCTCCCATCCAATCAGTTCATACCCTCACTGGCAGTTAAAAGGAAGAAACAGCTAAAACCACACATTGCTGCTCAAAGCAAGAAGCTAAAAACACCAGCCTGAAGATGACGAATGTGACTTCGTCGAAACGTTGCCAAGACACTTCCAATTTTACGTGGGAGAAAACCCGAACAACCAAAGACCTATATATATATAAGCTTGGCATTTTATCCTATTAAAATTTTTATAGTTTTATAAATTTCCTGGTGTTCGTATATTTTATGATTTTATATATATATATATATATATATATATATATATATATATATATATAAAATCATAAAATATACGAACACCAGGAAATTTATAAAACTATAAAAATTTTAATAGGATAAAATGCCAAGCTTTCGCTGGCTACTGCCAGAATTGTCAGGGTAACTTCCAGTCAATGGGGAAGCTGTTCATCCATGGCCCTCATTGGGGCAATCGGACCACCAACGTGGAACACATCTCTGGGTATATTCCTGCATTTCTTGCTTGTATCCATGTCACCACCCTTTCTCCCCTCCTCATGTAACCGTAAGCTAAGAGAACTCCTCAGTTTCATATGGCCAGGCATACGTTGTGCATCCTTTCGCTGTTTACTCTCCTCACCTTCTTTCCCATTGGCGTTCTCCTCCCACCTTCCCTCTTTCCATGGCCCTTTTTCACAGTTGCATCCTCATTGCCTTTCCCTATGCTACGGGATTTCGTTATAATTATCTCATCATAACCCCCATTCCCCAGTGCTCTCTCGCTAACTTTCCCCTTCGTTCTCTCATCGATGGGAATGTTTTTAGCGGCATCGCTGGAGTCTATCCATCGCCCCCATTGGGGCAATCGGACCACCAACGTGGAACACATCTCTGGGTATATTCCTGTAGCACCCTCAAGTTGGCTGCTGCATCCCCACATAGAGTCTTCAGTGTAGGGGTCACACCCTCTCCACCATTCATCCATTTCCCCGTTCTTTGGGAGTGTGTGATCATCCTCAAGGGGAGAGAAGGGGGGTCTTCCGGTTCTCGGCTTTCCTCTCCTTGTGTGTTTCCACGGGGGGGGATCATTCCTCTTGATTGTTTTTGGGAGCGTGTAGAGGCTCTAAAGTTGTAAATAATCACCTCTTCGTCCTCCCGCCATTCTCTTGCATCCCCAAAGTGAGAGCACATTTTCGAGGAAGTAGCCTTAGTCGCGGAGTCACCAATGGGGGTGGGGGTGATGTTGCAACCCTTCCATTCATGATCACTCTGCGTCCGGGTGCTAGTACAAGACAGAGTTCTTACAAGGCCCCCACAGGGCATGGAGAGACATCCGAGCCTTTGGCAATTGGCTCTCTGATGTCAATACATTCTTTCACCCGTTGGGGATGAGCACACACTCCCGTATTCAGAAGGTTGCTCAGTTGTTGATTACTCCCTATCTGGGCACGTTCAGGGCTCTTCTCCTCCACCACCTCTCTCTCTAGAAGGCATCTTGTGGTGTTAAATCATTTCTTTCTGGGAGGCTGACCACCCATGGTCCATGCTCTTAACATTACATATGCAAGACGTAGGTCCACATGCCGGTTGATGGAAACAGCAAGGAACATCCCCTGCCACATCGGCCCAGCCCCCTAGGTGTATGCTGGGGAGGTGTCACCCTTTGTGAGGAATGAAAAAATGCACCGTCACCTGGAAGTGGCCAGGAATCACCTACTTCACATATCCGGCTTGATGAGCTCTGGGGGAGGGGTTTCGGCAGGTAACGGGATGCTTTTCTCACAGCACCAAGAACTGAGCCAGGTGGCACAAATCTGATGAGAAGTGCAATGCTACCTAGCCCACAGCCTGCCCAGTTTCAGCAGGCAGCAAGGTGCAAAGCTGGCAAGCTTTGTACCGCCTGGCTCAACCTCTCTATGCTATGAGGAGAGTCCCCCACTGCCTGCCGAAACTGGGCAGGCTGGGGGCTGGGCAGCATCGTGCTTGTTTTCAGATTCGCGCCATATGTCTAAAGCCTCTCAGTGCAGTGAGGAGAGAACCTTGCTGCCTGCTGAGACCGGACAGGCTGGGGGCTGTGTGGCATTGCACAGGTAACATTGACTCTCATGCTGCTCATGGCATCCCCTCCCCCAGAGCCCACCAAACCAGTTTTGTGAAGTAGGTGAGGGCCATTTGCTGGCCACTTCCAGGTAATGGTGCATTTCTTCATTCCTCATGAAGGGTGACACTTCCCCAGCTGCATTTCTTGCCTGTTTTTCTCCCTCCCTCATCTCAAATATTTTCCCACCACTCTGTACTTAGGAAGGAAGGAAGGAAGGAAGGAAGGAAAGAAAGAAAGAAGGAAAGAAGGAGAGGGAGGGTGTGAGGGAAGTCCTGCCTTAGTCTTGCCCTGCTGCCCTTTCACCATCCCCTTGCCCCCTCCTCCTGGCCTATCCTGGGGGTCTCCCATCCTATTGCTAAGGAAGCTTTGGATACAAAGCCAGGTCTCCTCCCATGCAGAGGGAATGCAGCAGCCTTGAGGAGGAGGTAAGTGTAGCTGAGCACCCCTTTGGGGAAGTGGGGCTGGGCTTGGTGCTGCGGGTGCTCGAGGGCCAGGCTGGGCATTTGACCTCTGCTGCCCAGGGCTCCAGGCAGCCCATACCACGATCCAGTCCCCCCCAAATGGCCTGAGAGGCACAGTGAGGCTCCCCCAGTGGACCATTCCTTGGCACTTGTCCTGGTCACACCCCCTTCTGCAGAGACCCTCAGATCTATCCCACTCCTGCCCAGGCCCCATAGGCCCCATTGACACAAACAATGTAGAACTGGCCATGCCCACCCAGTAGGCCACACCCACTTCATCCACACCCCCCCAGTAGACCGCACCCACCCTGGACACACCCACCCGGCTCCCCGAGGGCAACTCCAATGCTGATGCAGCCCTCAATGAAATTGTATTTGACACCCCTGCACTAGACAGACTTTGAAGATTTACATCTGGCATGTCTGAATATGTCAAAAACATTCAATTTCTTTGTTTATATTAAGAACATAGCAACATTCATTTTCAAATGTCAAAGCAAAATTGACACATGTTCAGATAGGTTTAGTTTTTTTTAATTGTGAAAAAGGAAGAATAATTATAAACATCACATAAGACTACCAAAACTACATGTGAACAAGGTCATCAAAGAAATCCATATACAGTATTGTATAATCATATATAGACTATACAGTTCTCAAGAAGACTCTTATATTAGAACAATTATTTACAGAATAGCATTAATACAATTCTAATACAGAACTGAACTCCTTGCAGATTTTCATCTAACACATTTCATTGCCTTAAATGGATTACACTCTTACTGAAACAATATTGGGATGTTTCTTTTAGCCTTTAAATATATACATAACTATGCACATGCTATCTGTAAACTGCATTTACTCTTTAAAAATGTCCCATTATCTCCAGGCAATGAGTTTGCACATTCCCTGCTTGATATCTGTATTCCTCATGCTATATATCACTGGATTCATGCATGGTGGCACCACACAGTAGGCTATAGCAGCCACTAAATCCATCTGAGATGGACTCCTGTTGATTGGCCGTAAGTAAGCAAAGATGCCAAAGAAGAAGAACACGGAAACCACAATGAGGTGAGGCAAGCAGGTAGAGAAGGCCTTCTGCCTACCTTGTACAGGGAGAATTCTTACTATAGCTTTGAAGATCTGTCCATAAGAATTAACAATGAAAACAAAACAGGCTAAATATAAGCTGCCAGTGAATACCATAGCCCCAATTTCAATGAGATACATATCAGAGCAAGAGAGCCTGAGCAATTGTGGGATTTCACAAAAAAACTGGTTGATCACATTGGAGCAAAAAGTGTTTGCAAATGTGGCACCAGTGTGCAATGTTGCTGTTAGAATGCCAACCATCCATGCACAGCTTGCCATTTGGATACATCTGTGTGGGCCCATTAAAGTTTCATATTGAAGTGGATGGCAAATAGCAACATAACGATCATAGGCCATAATTGTCAGTAGAAGAAATTCAGATGCTGCAAAGAGAACTGAGGCGAATATTTGGGCAGCGCAGTGAGAATAGAGGATTACCCTTGTTCTCATTAAGGAGTTGGCTATGACTTTGGGGATGGTGACTGTGATATATCCCAGGTCAACAACTGATAGATTTAGGACAAAAAAATACATTGGGGTATGAAGGTGAATATTGAGAATTACTATGATCATGATAAGTAGATTCCCCATCACACATGAAATATAAATTAGAAAAAATACCAAAGCATAGAAATTCTGCCACTCTGCAACATCAAAGAAACCAACAAATACAAAATATGTTATCATGCTTTCATTGGACATTATTTAGGCAGAAGGATATATTGTGATTTCTAGAAAGGAAGGGAGAAGAAAATTGCTACTAAATTTTACAGAAAAAAAAATCTCTTCAGAAAAACTGTTATTAAGAAAGTTTGCAGTAAAAGATTATTGTAATATAGTTCAAAGAAGTTCAGGTGTCTTTTTCTGTTTATTCCAAGGTATAAAGTTCAGATGTAAATTTAATAGATAGATTTAACTATAGTGGACTTAACAAGCATAACATAATGTCAGACAATTTGTTAAGTTCATTTATTGCATTTTTTTAAAAAAAGACTCTTATGAACAAGAAATATTATATTTACAACATATGATCCCTATTGATTCCATTGTTCATCAAAACTAATATAATCATAAATATCTTAATCATTAATTTGACTAACTACAAGTTAGTAAAAAATAGTTTTCATTAAATTGGCAAAGACTAGTTTCAATCATGTTGCAATTGTACAATATTTATTACTATTTTTTTCTTATTCTTTCAATGAGTTGGTTTCTTCTCAAAAATCCATTTCAGAAAAGAGGATCAACTGACATTATTAAAGTAGTGGGGGGGGGGGAAGGATGATGTGGAAAGGATTGAAAGCAGGAAAGCAGTACTATGGAATCTGGCTGCTATTTAACACCCATTTAGCTGAGAAAAAGCTGACTGACCTTAATCAAATTTAATTGTTAGTGGAAATGCATAAGAAGTGGAAGAAGTTTCATCCATATCCTTTAGATTGAGATGTTTGGAGTTTCTTCCTTGGAGAACTGCATTATGTTGATCATATACATACACATATGCTCAATAAATAAAATAAAATAGAATCAGATGTGCATAAAAGCTGTAATGTCCAGAGGGCAATAAAAATAAAATATCAAAAAAGATTTAAAGGTTTGTTTTGCGTGATTCATCTAGATAAACTGCAGACAAGCATGAAAACAAAGTTTAGGCTATTGGATATCTGGCTATTTGACTATATAAGATAACTGATGAAAAAATCACATGAAAGGTTTACAGAGCAAATCAGCTACAACAAGAATGCTTTCTTAAGATAATGAAATCTGTTTTCCCTTCTGTAAGGTATTCCATAAAGACATGAATAGTGTAATGCAGAAGCAGAAATCTTTTGCATGTTATACATTTTGCAGGTAAGGAAGATAGATGTTTAAAGAATTACAGGTATAGAGTTTGTCAGTTCTGTTTCAGTATCCCTGGAGGACACTTTATGGCATCCTTGGTGTAGTTCAATTTCTCTAAAGGACTTTAGGTATATTGTTGAACTGTGAACATAATTCCAATTCCCTGCTCAGATACAATGCTCAGTGGTAACATGAATTTATAAATTTCAGCATAAACTATTTGGCAAGTTGGTTATGCTAGTGAAATAAGGAGTAATCAATCAGAATAGAGCTGGAAGGGACCTTGGAGGTCTTCTAGTCCAACCCCATGCTCAAGCAGAAGACCCTATACCATTTCAGGTATAGCTAGGAGTTGTGAAATAATGTATGGGTGAATTATAAATGAATAATAATGGGTGAACTAGAAGCAAGGGAGAGTACGACATAGTAGGCATTACAAAAATCTGGTGGGATGAAACCCATGAATGGAATGGACTGATGGATAGATACAAATTGTTCAAAAGAAACAGGTTTACAAAAAGAGGAGGGGGAGTTGCACTATATGTAAGAGAACACTACATATCTACTGAAATGCACATGATCAAAGATAAAATCTCTCCAGAATGCATATAGGTCAATATAAAAGAAAAAAAGTGACATTGCCATAGGTTTATCTTACAGGCCACCCAACCAATCAGAAGAAATAGATGAACTCTTTGCCAACCAGTTAACAAATGTATGTAGGAAGCATACCACAGTAGTAATAGGAAACTTCAACTATCCAGATATGAACTGGGAGACAAACTCTGTAGCAAAGGGGAGATCAAATAGATTCCTAACCAAGCTAGCCAACAACTTTGTTACCCAAAAGATGGAGGAGGGAACTAGGCATAAAGCTATACTGGATTTAATCCTTACTAATAGAGAAGACGTTAAAGAGGGAATTGCTGGAACCTTGGGTGAAAGTGACCACATCATACTGAAATTTAATATAATGCAAACTTTAGCAATAGAAAACAATCCAACCAGTGTCTTAAACTTCAAAAGAGCCGACTTTAACAAACTCAGAGAGAACCTAGGAAAGATACCATGGATGAAAACCCTAAAGTGGAAAACAACCAAGAAGCATGGTAAGAGAATACTTATCCGACCTTGATGAATATAAATCACCAGGACCCAAAAGATTATATCCCATATATATTCTGAAGGAGCTGGCAGATGTTATCTCAGAACCATTACACCACATCTTTCATAAATCCTGGAGCACTGGGGAAATACCCAAGGAGTGGAAAAGGGCTGATTTGGTTCCCATCTTCAAGAAAGGAAAAAAAACAGACCCAGAAAACTACAGACCAATCAGTTTAGCATCAATACCTGGGAAGATCCTAAAAAAGTAGTCAAAAACAGATCTGCAAACAACTAGAAGCAAACAAAGTTATCACTAATAGCCAGCATGGGTTTGTTAAAAACAGATCATGCCAAACCAATCTTATTTCATTCTTTGATAAAGTGATTAAATTAATAGACCAGCTAAATGCTGTGGACGTAGTATACTTAAATTTCAGTAAGACATTTGATAAAATAGACCACAACCTACTCCCTGGTAAGGTAGAAAAAGATGGAATAGACAACATCACCAGCAGATGGATATGTAGCTGGCTGGCAAACTGTACTCAACAAATAGTTCTCAATGGCACAATATCCACATGGAGAGAAGTAAGCACTGGGGCATGACAAGGTTCCTTCTTAGGCCATGTACTCTTCAAATATCTTCATAAATGACTTAGATGAGAGAATTGAAGGGGGACTCATCAAATTTGCAGATGGCACCAAACTGACAGGAGTAGCCAACACCCCAGAAGACAAACTCAGGACCCAAAAAGATCTTGACAAACTTGAACAATGAGCCTAATAAAATGAAATGAGTTTCAATGTACAGAAGTTTTACATTTAGGCAGGAAAAATCAAAGGTACAAGTACAGACTGGGTGAAACTTGGTTTAAAAACAGTAACTGTGAAAGGGACCTTGGAGTCTTAGTGGATAATCACTTGATCATGAGCCAGCAGTGTGTAGCAGCAGCCAAAAAAGCTAATACAATCTTGGGTTGTATAAACAGAGGCATAGAATCAAGATCACATGAAGTATTAATACCGCTTTATAAAACCCTAGTAAGACCACACCTGGAATATTGCAGCCAATTTTGGTCACTATATCACAAAAAAGATGTTGAGAGTTTGGAAAAATTTCAGAGAAAAGGAACTAAGATGATCAAAGGCCTGGAGATTAAAACATATGAAGAATGTCCCTCCAAGGTCCCTTCCAGCTCTATTCTATTCTATTCTATTCTATTCTATTCTATTCTATTCTATTCTATTCTATTCTATTCTATTCTATTCTATTCTATTCTGTATAGTAGGCACTTACCTGAACTCATTGGAAAAAAAAAATATTATAGAGATATGGAATTTGCTTTGCAAATAAGAGGGTTGAAGGAGAATGTGCAAGAGAATCTGAAAGAAGAAATTGCTGCAGAATTAGCCTCCATTTTGGGATGTGAACCTGAAGAAATGTTGAAAGATATAGAAAAAAATTTTAGGGTTAATTCATGGATTGCGAGGCAGAGAAATTTACCAAGAAATGTGGTTATTTATTTTTCCAGAAGATCACTTTGTAATGAAATTATACAGGCTTTTTACAAGCAGAGATTTCAAATTGCAACTCAAGATATTATAATTTTGAAAGAAATATCTCAAAAATTCTCAGAAAAAGAAAGGACTTTGCTTTTTTGGCTGAGGAGCTGAAGAAACAACAGATTCAGTTTAGATGGGATGTACCTGTTGGAATAGTGGTGAACTACGTTGGGACACATTACAGACTTAATACAATTTTAAAAGCAAGAGATTTTTATGCTTCTGTTCTTAAAGCAGGTGCACCACCATCTCCATGATCTAAAACAAATGAAGGCAAGTTTGAAGGACAGTTGGCTGTAGAAACAATGTCATTAGTAGGAGAAGAATTGTTGGTTGAATCGATGCAGCAGTGTTTGGAGATAAAAGATGACCCAAAGGAACAAAGAATGACTCGTGCAGCTCATAAACGTAAAGAAAAAGAGCAGCAAAAGGTAAATGTTGGATCTACAAAACAAGTGGTTACCTCAGAGTCAGTGGGAGGAACAAGACCGAAGAGGTCATCGACTGCAGATTTACATGCAGTGTTCCAAAGGCTTCAGGCCACCAAAAATGGCAAAGTTTCTGACATGGAATGTTAATGGTTTGAATTCACCACAGAAAAGAAAGAAAGTATTTTATTACTTGAAACAACACAAGAATGATGTTATATGTTTGCAAGAGACTCATATTGCTTTAAAGGATCAAAAGTATTTGATTAACTCCCAGCTGGGAGTACATTTTTCAGCCCCTGCTCTGCAGAAAAAAGGAGGAGTAGTAATTTATGCGAAAAAAGATTTATCACCGAAGTTAATTGATTCTGATCCACAAGGAAGATATGTTATTATTTATTTATTATTAAATGGTAAGAGATGTCTTATCATTGGATTATATGCTCCTAATCAACAACATAAATACTTTTATAAGATGATACATCAGAAATTAATTCAATTGGATTATAAATCAGTTATTATGATAGGAGATTGGAATAGTGTTTTAGAATCAAGTAAACACAAGAAGGGTTCTTTTAAATCTCCTAATCATGCAAAATTACCTAAAGGTTTTTGTTTTGTTTTGTTTTTTTGATTTGAACGATGATTTGGAACTTAGAGATATCTGCAAGAATGGAATATTGAAGAAAGAGACTTTACCTTTTTTTCAGACAGGCATCAAATCGTACTCCAGAACTGACTTTTTTAAAATCACTAATGATTTCTTTTCCAAAGTAAAGAATGCCAAGATATTCCCTAGAACATTCTCAGATCATAGCCCTGTATGGTTGGAGTTATCTACTGAAGATGGGAATAGAAGGACTTGGAGATTGAATGAAAATTTATTTAGACATGAGAGGAATTTATAGAAATGTAGAGTTTACTTAAAGGATTTTTTTCTTTTGAATATGTATAAGGATACTTTGATGCCAATGGTATGGGATGCTAGTAAAGCATATATGAGAGGGGTTTTGATTCATATGAATAATGCATATAGGCAAAAACAGATGCAGAAACGTAAAGAGTTGGAAGAAGAGATTAAACATAAGGAGATGGCTCTTATTTTAAATCCATTGGACAATAGTTCAAAGGTTTCTATAACTTTGCTTAAGGAGCAATTAATATGTTAATTAATTTGCAGTATATGAAACATAATATATTTTGTAATGCAAATAAACCCAGTAGGTGGTTGGCTTACCAACTACGAAAGAAACAGAAATCAAGGATTATAGATGTGGCTAAAATTTATTGCAAGTCTTTTGTTCGTACAGTGACTCCTGTTTGTGTCCCATAAAAAAATTGTGTCCTTGAAACAATTTACTTAGTCCATGATCTTCCTTGTAAAATATGTCTGCTTTAATTTTTGAACATTGATAGATTGGAGTGGATGTATGACATGGGCTCTTAAAAATGATTGCAGTAGTTGAAGGAGAGGAGTTCCCAGAGTTTATAATGTCCATGTCTGGGAGTGTCCTAGTCTCTTAGCCTTACTTAGTCTTCTGGGACTGGTGAAATCTCTGCTAGTAATAAGTGGTTCAGTGGATGAGCAAGTCCTCTGGGCATCTCAACCTCTTTTGGCCTATCATGACTGTAGAATGAACTTACCCAGTTATCTGGGAATATCCTTTTGTACCCAAGGAAGTAGAAAGGATCCTTGTTGCAGTAAGCATGGCCATCTGTGATTTAGATCCATGACTTTTCTGACTAGTCAAGGATACCCAGTAGGGATATTTAGGTGGGTCTTGGTAAAAGCTAATTTACCCTTGAGAGATAAGTGTTCCTGGCACAATTTAAAGAAGCACTTGTGCACCTTCTTCTTAAGAAGCCATCACTGGATTCTTCCATTTTGGATAACCTTTGTCCAGTCTTCCATCTCCCTATG